CCAATACTGCCCTTACCCCATCACCCCCCTATCTATAATAATGGATGCGTTGAAATACTGGGGAAACTCCCTTGGTGTAACAATAATGGATTGTTTTTGGATTCACAGACCCGTCATAAAATCTTTGCGGCATAGAAAAGCACTTGTCTAGTATGTCCCTGTTAATAATGAAGACCGACTGATGCCTTTCACAATATGCTATTTATTCTCAATGGTAAGAATAATTAATAAAAATTGCAGCCTCTAAGTAGACCTGTTCTGTCAAAATATTGTGGATTTTCTTATGGGCGAAGGATCCGGCTAATTATGATTTTTTTTTTTGGTCGTATGGGGTTGGATCCGGCTAATTCTGATTTTATGTTTGGTAATACGTGGCTGGATCCGGCTAATTCTGATTTTGTTTTTGGTCATACGTGGCTGGATCCAGGCTAATTCTGATTTTATGTTTGGTAATAAGTGGCTGGATCCCGGCTAATTCTGATTTTATGTTTGGTAATAAGTGGCTGGATCCCAGCTAGTTCTGATTTTATGTTTGGTAATAAGTGGCTGGATCCCGGCTAATTCTGATTTTATGTTTGGTAATAAGTGGCTGGATCCAGCTAATTCTGATTTTGTTTTTGGTCATAAGTGGCTGGATCCCGGCTAATTCTGATTTTGTTTTTGGTCATACGTGGCTGGATCCTGGCTAATTCTGATTTTGTTTTTGGTCATACGTGGCTGGATCCAGGCTGATTCTGATTTTGTTTTTGGTCATACGTGGCTGGATCCAGGCTGATTCTGATTTTGTTTTTGGTCATACGTGGCTGGATCCAGGCTGATTCTGATTTTGTTTTTGGTCATACGTGGCTGGATCCCGGCTAATTCTGATTTTGTTTTTGGTCATATGTGGCTGGATCCAGGCTAATTCTGATTTTGTTTTTGGTAATACGTGGCTGGATCCCGGCTAATTCTCATTTTGTTTATGATAATACGTGGCTGGATCCCGGCTAATTCTGATTGTTTTTTGTCATACGTGGCTGGATCCCAGCTAATTCTCATTTTGTTTTTGGTAATACGTGGCTGGATCCCAGCTAGTTCTGATTTTATGTTTGGTAATAAGTGGCTGGATCCCGGCTAATTCTGATTTTATTTTTGGTCATACGTGGCTGGATCCCGGCTAATTCTGATTTTGTTTTTGGTCATACGTGGCTGGATCCCGGCTAATTCTGATTTTGTTTTTGGTCATACGTGGCTGGATCCCGGCTAATTCTCATTTTGTTTTTGGTCATACGTGGCTGGATCCCGGCTAATTCTGATTTTGTTTTTGGTCATACGTGGCTGGATCCCGGCTGATTCTGATTTTGTTTTTGGTAATACGTGGCTGGATCCCGGCTAGTTCTGATTTTATGTTTGGTAATAAGTGGCTGGATCCCGGCTAATTCTGATTTTATGTTTGGTAATAAGTGGCTGGATCCGGCTAATTCTGATTTTGTTTTTGGTCAAGTGGCTGGATCCCGGCTAATTCTGATTTTGTTTTTGGTCATACGTGGCTGGATCCCGGCTAATTCTGATTTTGTTTTTGGTCATACGTGGCTGGATCCCGGCTAATTCTGATTTTGTTTTTGGTCATACGTGGCTGGATCCCAGCTGATTCTGATTTTGTTTTTGGTCATACGTGGCTGGATCCCGGCTAATTCTGATTTTGTTTTTGGTCATAGTGGCTGGATCCCGGCTAATTCTGATTTTGTTTTTGGTAATACGTGGCTGGATCCCGGCTAATTCTGATTTTGTTTTTGATCATAAGTGGCTGGATCCCGGCTAATTCTGATTTTGTTTAAGATCGCAGGTGGGCTGGTTGTTCACTATGAATCGAATGATTGGCCCAGGAAGTTCAAGCTCACAGAGGAGGCGTCTGGTTTTGGGAATTATCATCTTGCTCCTTGTTGATGTGATATGGGTAGCGTCCTCAGAACTGACTTCGGTGAGTATTGTTTATCTCATTGCTGTCACTTTATCATTATCGTCTGCTGTCGACCCTCAGATTGAAACAATGCAGATATTTGTTTTACACAATTTAAATATTTGACAACCAAATAATTTTAGCGTGTATATATAATTACATGTAACTGCAAGTACAGAATATTACACTATGGCCAACCTAGAAGTAAAATGGTAACATTGTTATAATGCAAAGATTAAATAAATCCGGTGGAGTATCTTCCAAATTTCATTCTGTGCCTTTAAAGAAAAACTGTTTGGAATCCAAAAGTGTATTCCTAACTATAGCTCCCATGATGCTTTGCATGCCTTTAGAATGACAAGGAATCATGGAAGCTGTAGTTTTACAACATCTGGGGATCTACCTTTTGGGCAGCCATTTCCTATACTATACCCCTGTCCCTAAATTTGGGACCCCCACACGCACAAATGAAAGGGTAGAAAAACCTTTTTAACAGTTACCTTAATTCCATTCCATTGGCTGTAGCTCAATCTCCTCCAGAGACGTAATGCTGATTGTGGACTTGGAGTACATTAGTACTTGGCCGTAGGAAAGCATTCAATCAGTGCTTTCCTATGGGGATTTTGAAGACGCTGGATGTCCTCATGCATGGAGTAAAACTGAGAGAAGCCAGGAATCACCTCTAGTGTCTGTATGGAAGATAGCCACGAGTTGTTGTCTTAACCTAGCAATTTAAATATTGCAGTTTCTCTGAAGGGTTAAGAGGAGATGAAGTGATCTGAATGCCTATAGTATGAACATAGAATGTGACGGCAGATGAGAACCATTCGGCCCATCTAGTCTGCCCAATTTTCTAAATACTTTCATTAGTCCCTGGCCTTATCTTATAGTTAGGATAGCCTTATGCCTATCCCACGCATGCTTAAACTCCTTTACTGTGTTAACCTCTACCACTTCAGCTGGAAGGCTATTCCATGCATCCACTACCCTCTCAGTAAAGTAATACTTCCTGATATTATTTTTAAACCTTTGTCCCTCTAATTTAAGACTATGTCCTCTTGTTGTGGTAGTTTTTCTTCTTTTAAATATAGTCTCCTCCTTTACTGTGTTGATTCCCTTTATATATTTAAATGTTTCTATCATATCCCCCCTGTCTCGTCTTTCCTCCAAGCTATACATGTTAAGATCCTTTAACCTTTCCTGGTAAGTTTTATCCCGCAATCCATGAACCAGTTTAGTAGCCCTTCTCTGAACCTCTCTAAGGTATCAATATCCTTCTGAAGATACGGTCTCCAGTACTGTGTACAATACTCCAAGTGAGGTCTCACCAGTGTTCTGTACAATGGCATGAGCACTTCCCTCTTTCTACTGCTAATACCTCTCCCTATACAACCAAGCATTCTGCTAGCATTTCCTGCTGCTCTATTACATTGTCTGCCTACCTTTAAGTCATCAGAAATAATCACCCCTAAATCCCTTTCATCAGATGTTGAGGTTAGGACTCTATCAAATATTCTGTACTCTGCCCTTGGGTTTTTACGTCCAAGATGCATTATCTTGCACTTATCCACATTAAATGTCAGTTGCCACAATTCTGACCATTTTTCTAGTTTACCTAAATCATTTGCCATTTGGCTTATCCCTCCTGGAACATCAACCCTGTTACATGTCTTAGTATTGTTGTGGAATCAATTAATAAATTGATTATGTTGCGTATCTGCCCCTGGCCAAATTAAAGAAGTAATGCGTGCACGTTCCTAAAGTAATTCACACCAGACACAGGTTTCGGGTTAATGAAAAACTTGAGGAATGTTTATTCTGAGGGGACATGGAATAATACATCAATAATTGGTTAGGTGTTAAGTGCTTCATTTAGTGCTCTTCCTACCGGGTGTGATGTCACTGGCATCTTGGAGGTCTCCCCTAGATTCCAGCGCCATCTTGTTAATGAGGGTGTTTGTCGATGTCAAAGGGAAACTCCCTAGCGGCCATTTTAGGTAAATCACGTAGAAAGTTGAATAATTCAGATTGTGGTTATACTGAGTAAATAGGCATTTTATTAACATGGATTGGGTTAATATCTTTGTCCACAACAAGTATCATCGGCAAAAAGACATAAACAGCGTACCTTTAACCACACACTGGAGGCTGCTGCACGCTCTAGCGGTTAATAGAGCAGGAAATAAAACATTCTAAATTGAACACACTACAATTAAAATAAATAAATAATGGAAACCGCTTTCTCTTTACAGGAAGTGTGTAGGGAGGCTGTGTGAGTGTCAGCCAGAGGAGGTGTGACTAGGGTGTGGATAAACAAAGTGATTTAACACCTAGTGAGCCTGCATGGGCGGGCTCATTTCATCAAGCTAAACTACAAATCAGCTTCAGAGTGTCCCTTTAATACTTGGACAATATAACAGGAATTCACATATACTGCAATGCAATGTTCAAATATTTCTTGATGTTTGTCGCTTTTTATTTTCGGTTTATCTTTTTCAGTACATATTTCAGGAATACAACAAACCATTTTTTAGCACCTTTGCAAAAACCTCCATGTTTGTTCTGTACCTGTTGGGGTTTATCGTGTGGCGGCCATGGAGACAGCAGTGTACCAAGCGCATGCACAGGAAGCACGCACTGTTTGTGAGTTTCATTTTACATTTTCTCATATAATGGTGATATCGTTGGGTCTAACCTGCTCTTAAAGATTCTGACAGAGAAAATATACCGAGTGCACAAAGCATTGTCCCTGGAAGCATAGAGACGTACAATGAGGCTTGGCATTTGGCAAATCTTTTCCACTAATTCCAAAATCCATCCTTTTCTGGATTATAAATGCTGTGTATTAAAATAGTCTGAAAACGAATAATTACCATCACCACTACAGTTTCTTTTATTTCATTTGTTGTTCTGTTTATTGGGTCATTACTTATTGTTACAGCCGATTTGGAAAATAAAAAC